TCAAGCGAATCAAGCGAAAGTGGAGAAAGGTAAGCTGGGTACACATGACTTCATTTATATGATACTCGTAGGATGTGGTAAGCAAACGACCTCCTGAATCATAGTTTCTTCAAACCATTTTACTTTGCCTAAAATTGACTATATAAACTACAGAATACTTAACATTTAGCCACAGCAAATACCCGAATTATTATACTACAGCATTCGGCACCCTGTAATAATTCGTCAAAGAAAATTTGCTGGGAAGCCGAGAACACAGTTTCAGTGTCAGGTAATTGATTTTCTTTGGAGTAATTGCTCGGTGATTCCCTTGGGTAGTGTTAACTAATCAAGGTATTCAAAAAACAAAACACACTTCAATCTGTGTGCACACCCTTTTTGCAAGTTTATGAAATCAGAGAAAAAAAGTCATTTGACCTACTCGTTTTGCTTCAGGCTTACGCAGGATTATGAGACCCCAACTCTAAGCTTTATATTAAAAGGTCAAAGTGACAGCAAGTGGTAAAGTTAATTTGGTGGATTATCTTGTCAGTCTCGTCTTCCAAAATAATTTTGTCTCATGTAATGAAAGCCAGATCCCAGAATCCAAGAAATTTGTGCTTGTGGAATCCAGAATCTGGGAAAATTTGCTTGTGGAATCCGGGATCTTGGGCTTTGGAATCCAAAATACAGCTCAAGGAATCCGTAATCCTTCTAAAGATTTGAATCCAGAATCCAAGTGTCACTGACTAAAGACTGGAATCCAGTACCTTGGAATCTGGAATCCACGGTGTGGAATCCAGAATTCATAACTGTCTTGGATTCCTTTAAATGGGGCGCCGAATAATTGATTAGCAAAATTGCCAATGCTAAGCAACGATTTTCATTCATCATCTACGACTTTATTCTCAGCAAGGATGCTCATCGCGCCAACGGTTGCCCGTTTCTGTAGAGTTGTGTAACTAATCGGCTTTTTGTTTCACCAGAAATGGGCGATATTCCCAGAACTTCAAGAAGTTACCATTTACACGAAGAAGACCGGACGAGCCTGATAACAATAATAACGGCATCATACACAACAATAATGAACAAGAAACAACGGTAAGGTTTTTTGAAATTCAAGAAATGTTCACGCCATACCTGATAACTTTTGCGCCGCCACGAAAATCTTATGGGATAGGGCTTCTGTTCACACATAACAACGGTGATTTCAGCGCGATTTCTGTTACTGAGCGCCGCGCTGGTTTCAAAAGTGGAGCGTCACAGATCCAATAAGTTTTGGTGTAGTGTGAAAACCTTTTCGGACTGCCGCTGAAGTAAATGGGTAGGGGACTGGAATCCCCTAAGACAGAAGTAAATATTCAGGAGTCGGGACTGGGATTTAGCTCACCAAGTTAACCCTCTCGGCCTGAACCGCTCCAGCACGATGTTTAATGTGTGTGAACCACTTGAGCTAGCCTCTGGCCGTTGCTGTTTATACTATTAATACCGGATAACTTTTCGAGGCGGCACGCATAGTGTCAGCAATGCCTCGTTCTTAGGCGTGTCAAGAATGTTTGAAAAAAAGGAAAACGCGACTGCGAGTGATAGTATCGCGTAATGAACGATGGGAACGTTTAGCGTTGACGCAGAGGACGCTGATACCTAGCGCGGAATTGAACCGAAATCGCTCCAGTCGTTCTCGAATCGTTCTCGCATCCGCTAGAACGCACCAGGGTACGAGGCAGGTGTCAATATAGCCTTAGTGAAATATGGCATTAACAAAGCCAGAGAAATAATAAGCGTGCAAAAAACACTTAGTGGTGACTAGATTCTTAATCATGTGTCTGTTTGTTACGTATATTTGGTTTTCAACGTTCTTTCGTCCGCAAGTGTTTTACGTGTAGCTTATTCAAGCACGTGCACGTGGAGCTCGCTTCTTCAACCTCCGATAGTGCATCGATTTCCTCTTGTTATTGTGGTACCTAATACTTACATTCAGTAAGGAGAGATTGAGTTACTTAAGGTGGCCCGAACATATTTATATGCGCGTTGGTTATGTTTTTGAATCGCGTTTTTCGGCAGGAATGATTTAACCGATTTCTATGATTTTTAGCATCCTTAATAAAGAACGGTCGAACTTTAAGAAAATGTTATTTATTTTCTTGTAGGTATAAAAACGTTTGAAATATCTGTATATGTTTAAAACCGCATTTTTACAACTGAAAAAATGTCAATAATTTCAAAACCCTAACACAGATTTTTCTCTAACTTCGGCAAAAAAACCTCAGAGCTCTCTAGTTTTACGTCCGCAAGTTTGAAGTCAATCGTGACCGTAGAACTCGCTGCACAAATAGCTGGTCAAATTTAACCTTAAAATGTAACGCTAACACATTTGTGAAAGTTGACACACAGATAGAGGACAACTGCCGACGAACTATCTCCTGTCTGCAAGGGAATTATTGCCCAAAGCGTCAGTTGAAAGAAACTGAGTAATCAGAAACATACAGCGAATACAGTTCGCAATACAAGAAGAACAAGTTTATGCTGAATGCGGGGCAAGATTAAATAACTTCTATTTATCAAAGTTACTGTGTATTTTCCTTTTTTTTTTCAATAAAGCACGATATAACATCTAAGGACATCTCCTAGCAGTTTTTAGCACTGAAGGTTCCCGTCTTGGGGAGAAATAAAGCCACAAACTCCAGTACTTCAACCGAATGCGTGTACCTTAGTGCCAACCGTTTTTCGATGGCATGGGAAAATGGAATTCAAATTCCATTTCCATTTTTTTTTCGTTTTTGCATGACATTGAAAAACAGATTGAATTTTGCTTTTTGTTTTTTATTTTCGCATCACTTTGAAAAACGGGTTTTGTATGGCTTGTTAGAGTCTTGTTATGTACTTATGATGTAGTTGTATCGTGGAAATGACGACAAGAAAGACACTTGTAATAATTGAGTCATTCTACAAAAACCCCAGAAGGCTGTAAAACTTGATTTGTAATTTTTTTTTATCTCGCATTTTGTGACTTCAAGTTGTAAAGTCTTCAAATATTCGTCATTTTCCTTTTCCATCGAGAGTATACAAGTGTTGCGATAGCTGCTCCGAAATCAACTTGTTTTTTTCGCCGCCATCATCTATTATTTGTCATCCCTTGTTAAAAAAGGAGTACCGTGTGTGTGGGACATATCATGTGGGCGGGGGAGTTCACCACTCTTTGGCCGAGGGGCCAAATTCAGTTGCTTTCCTTTGCATAAAAAGTGAATTCCCCGGTCAACCCCGAGGGGGTGTCCGGGGACTTCAAATGACAAACGAAGTTCAGATATGTTTTTCAAATAACAAGCCATACAAAAACGAAGTTCAAATGCGTTTTTCAAAGTGATGTGAAAACGAAAAACGAAATTCATATCTGTTTTGCAATGTCATGCGGAAACGAAAAACGAAAAATGGAAATGGAATTTGAATTCCATTTTCCCCTGCCATCGAAAAACGGTTGGCACTAAGGTACACGCATTCAACCGATCCATTTTTAACTGCAACGAAAACTCTTGTATTAGGTAATTTATTCAAGCTTAAAAGATTTGCCATCACATTCGCACGGGCATTTTGCCATTGGGGATAATGAAAAAAATAAGACGATTGTCATATTTTCTTCATCTTTATGCCCAAGTGGGAAACTTCCCGTGCAAATGTGATGCCAAGACTGAAAACCTTGAAAAAATTACCAAGTACAAGGACTTTCAATGGAGCTGAAAAATGAGCAGAAGTACTGGAGTTGATGGCTTTATTTCTCCTCAAAACGGAAACCTACGACGACTCTTGAGAGTTTTTCGTAGATAATAGAATTTGCCTTGTTAAGAGGTTTCGAAAAGAGAGGGACAAATAGGAAGTAAGTTTGATACATAGAAATTCTTTTACCTTGCCCCGCATTCAGCATAAAAATGTTCTTCTTTTATTGCGAACTGTATTCGCCGTGTGTTTCTGATTACTCAGTTTGTTGCACTGAAGCTTTAGGCAAGAATACCCTTGCAGATAGGAGATAGTCTGCCAGCAGTCTTCCTCTATTCGTGCGTCAACTTTCACAACTGTGTTAGCATTGCATTGACCAACTATTTGTGCAGCGAGTCCTACGGTCACAATTGACTTCAAACTTGCAGATATAAAACTAGAGAGCTCTGACACTTATTTGCCGAAGTCAGAGAAAAATCTGTCTTAGGGTTTCGAAATTATTGACATTTTTTGTAAAAATGCGGTTTTAAACATATGCCAATATCTCAAACTTTTTTATATCTACAAGAAAATAAATAACATTTTCTTAAAGTTAGACCATTCTTTATTAAGGATGCCAAAAATCATAGAAATCGGTTAAATCATTCCTGACAAAAAACGCGATTCAAAAACATAACCAACGCGCACATAAATAGGTTCGGGCCTCCTTAATGTTTCCAGTCTAAGGAAGGCGCTTATTTGAAGCTGGGCACTATTTTAAGCATTACTGAAGGTAACTTCTAAACTCAATGGAAGCCTAAGGATACTTCAAAACACGAGCTTTAAACAGTAAAAAGGAAGGAGATGGGAAGTTGTTTCTTAAGGGTTTAATCCATGTGGAACAATATCGTAAGTTGACAGAATTCAACTTTTTTAAGGTTGAATTCATTTCTATCAGAAGACCTTCTCTCTTCATTATACAGTGGATTACTGATTTTTGTTACACTCTTAGGAGGCTTTAGTCTGCTACACAGCCGTTTTCAGTGTCGTCACGCAACGCTCCTCCGGGGGGAGCGTTGCGTGACGACACTAAAAACGGCTGTGTAGCAGATTAAGGAGGGGTAGGGTAACTGAAAAAATAAATGATTGTTAATATATCCTCTAAAAAGGCCTGTAAGAATTAGTTTGATTTGCTGCCTTTTTATGACCCTTCTACTGACTTTATTCTCCAGGCATCTCGTCTTCAACTTCCTCGCGTTATAAACGACGATGGCAAACGACAGAGCCGTCGAATAAACAGTTATGAACCACCTCAGGTTCCCTTTCCTCATATGCAAGTAGCTGAGAAGTACAGGAAAGAGTTTCAGGAGTATAACGACAAGACACTTCATTTACCAACCCAGACTCAAAATGAATCAAAGAAGAAAGAATTTGTGGAAGACCAAGACATCAAAGTGCCAGACATCACGACACCCTTAGCGAATGAGGTAGAGCTTGTGGGAGAGATCAACAACAATGCCAATGAGAGCAGTGAGGAAGATTTAAAAAGAGAAGTCGAGAGTAACACTCCAAGCTGCGAGGAAAAAAGTGACGGTAAGCTGTAGCTACAAGGCTAGGAAGTTAGGTATCAAAAGAGTCATTTGCATGTCAGTCTTCAGATAATTGGTCCTTTGTAGATCAATGCCATGTTTTGTTTTTCTCTTTAACTTCTTTTATATTTCGAACGCCCCACTTTCCTTCTGCAATGCTATTGACGGTCTTTACTGTGTCGTGGGCTCGGTGTTTGCATAGTATGCCTTCAGCCGAGTTATTCGTGACTTTGTGGCAGAAACTCTTCCAGAACAAAAAGAATAGCTACAGAAAGTCGGATTCTAAAAGCCGTTCTCAGTAGAAATTTATCTTGGTAATTTTACTATAGCTTAGAGTGTAATTAAGGAGGTGTCATGTATATTTAGAATCACGAAACGTCAGGTTGAACTCAGGAGACTCCGTGATATGAGTTCTCATAATTAGAAAATGAGCCGACAGAAAATGTCCAAATTTACTGCGCTTTTTAAAAACACGCGAATTCTGAAGTTTAAAAGCCAACTGACGATTCCGTTATTCGCTGCCGTCAATCATCTAAACGGACGTCTTCGCAAATTGAAGTTTACTTCAATGGGTTCAAAAGGTCTATGGTTTGTGATTTGCGATTGTTGGCCTGTTCGATCCGTTTTGCGTGTTTCTTTGTCTCAAGGTTCGCTACTTGTAATCGTAATTATGATTGACGGGAGCGAAAAACGTTGTGAAGGCGCCTTTTGAACTTCAGAGTTCGCGTGTTTTTGAAAAGCGTCGTAAGCAGAACAAATAAATCTGGCACGAAACTACTTCTCTACTGCCTCCCCCCTCGAGCTCGGACGCTTTTTTTTCGCACAGAGGCGAGCGCGAAACTCAAGTATATAACTGTTCACAAAGCGCTAGGGACCGCGGGAAGGAGAGGCGAAGCACGTCTCGCCCGTTTTCTCCTTCCCGCCTTTGTTTGCCCGCATCGAGAGAGAAAGAGACGTCTGGGTAAGAGGCAGACTTTTCTATGAAGAAAATTGAAGGGAAACAAGGTCACGTGCTACAAACTAACGTTCGCGTAAACGTGATTTTATATCTTATGTTTTCACGGAGGAAATATATGTTTGTCACTGTTTGTCTGTATGGCTGGATGGTTTAGGCCACTAAATTAAAGAAAAGTCAGCGATTTATTTTTTGTTTGTTTGTTTTTTGCTGTAAAGACCAAACAAACAAAGAAATTCTCACAGGCAAGCGACACGCTGAACATCAAGGACAAGATAATCGAGTCACAGAGGAATCTAAGCCCCAAGAACAAGATAGGTATAGCTATGATTTTCGGACTTTTATTTATGTTTATATTAATTCTGTTGATAAAAGTGACCGGATTAATCACTTAAGAATATTGAGGTTTATCTTGATAATATCCTATAGTTTTATTACCACGCAAAAATAATTTTTAAAGGCCAATCGAAAGACTGTTTAAGGACGGACTACTAAGGAATTCATCATTCCAAATCAATCAACACTGAATATCGATCCAAACAACACCCTCATAGTTTCTTCTGCAAATGTACGTGGCTTTAAAAGCCCTCTCTGAGAGATGAATATGTTGAGAGAGTGAAATTGTCGAAAGGCAGGGTTTAAAATTGCCTTGGCAGAAAGCAATCAGACTGTGACAAATGATAGCTAATAGTTAACATCTTCTCGTGTAAGATCCAAATTATGTTCAGGCTGACTGTACCCCCATTTACGTAACCTACAAATTCTAGAAAGACTGAGCAACTTAGCCCCTGCGCTTTTCGCTAAAGATTGGTTCGCATCGCTACTTTTACCAGCTGTATTTCAAACTAAAGTAGTGTTTTTTCCTTTTGAAGACTTCCTTATGCGATCTTTGCATAAGGCTTTCGCAACGTATGTAACCTGTGCCGCATCGTAATTTCTATATTTGATCTTATTTTAGCAGGCCTGTTTCAGGTAGATCCAATGGAATCCGTAAATTGGACATCCTGATGACCGAGTCAAGAGTTGAAAAGATGAAAACTGTATCGTCGTTATACGAGAAAGACAAGTTACATGCATGGGATAAAAATGAATCTGAGAGCGAACTAGAACCGCAGCAGGAAAGTACGTTAATCAATCTTCGGAAAGAATACTCTTGTAAGAAACCCTCTCAATCCTATGAAGACTGGCTTCAAATGAAGCGATCTCAAGAAAAAAACAGACCATCAACTGCGCCAACACAGAAAAGCAGGCTTGGAAAGAGTATCGATCCAGAGTCATTCAAGAAATGGCTGAATAGTAAGCGACACCAACGGACACAGTCGAATTCTGAATCTTCTTATTCTAATAAAAAGACCCTTATTAGTTCTGGAGGATTGACGTTTGAACGCTGGCTTGAAACAAAGTTGTCAAACCGTCCCTTTAGTGCTGTAAATTACGTCACCGAGTCACCAGATTCAACATTAGGGGTGACTAACAAAGTTAGAAAACAAAATGTGTCTGGAAAACCATTCGAGGTTTGGCTAGCAGAAAAGAAAACATTGGAGCAGTCTGTTCATGGAGGAGAAAATTACAACGAACAAGACAAAAACACTTCGAGAAGTGGCAAAACGTTTGAAGTGTGGTTAAAAGAAAAACACAGTCAAAAGCAGATTGAGCTTGTGCAAAAGATAACTACAGAGAAAGAGGAACAAAGACTGGCGGAAATAGATAGGTTACAGAAGTGGCTGAATCCCCGTTACAAGACTTACGAGGATTGGCTGGCACTTAAGAACCATCAAGCTAGGTTTGAACGCTTGCGAACCCAGAGCGAGCCACAAAAACAACAAGAAGACATTTCCGAGGAGGAAAAACAAAAGGACGCCAAAGTTGTTTTTGACATCTGGCAGACAATGAAGGCACTTCAAGAGCTAAGGGACGAAGACAGGAAATATAAGGAAATGAAAGCAAAGTGGGCTGCGAAGCAACGCGTAAAAGAACAACTGAGAAGGCTTAATGTTATAAATAAGGCCAAGCAGTTTCATTTGCGATCTACATCAGCGCCGAAGAGTTGACGTTTGTCTCGAACTTGGTGCGCAGGGGCTAGAGGAGACTCCATCTTGTTTTTTCGATCCCACCCTGCCAGCAGTTCGCCAACCTCGTCCCCAGGGCGGTGGGGCGGGAAAAGTCCCCGCCTCGGCCGGCCAATACATCATTTTGATTGGTTGATTGATAAGATTGGTCATTGTCTACATATGGCTGATTGCCCTGTGCGTGGCTCTGCTTTCTCTTCTGAATAGATGCAACGAGGCAGAGTACAGGCTCATAATCACCGACGCAATCGGATTTCCAGTCATGGCCCTCATGTTTCTTATATACTCACGGATATTTCTCTTGGTGCCAAAATGGATTCTGCAAGATCTCGATCTTTCTATTTCAGAGAGTCAAAGATTGTTAGGCAGTGACAATCTTTCCGAAAACATTCGCACGCGTGAAAGGCACATCGCTTTTTCAGTGTTCCTGTTTGTTGGTGTATTTACCCTCTGCTGGACACCATGTTTTGTTATGGAAAATGTATTTTACAAACATAGGAGATCTTCGACTCTGGAAACTGCCGCAGATTGGGTGAGGGTTTCGGGACTGTTGAGTTCATTATTGAATCCCGTGATTTACGCATTAAGATACGAAAAGTTTAGAAAGGCGATTCGCCAGATTTTTCTATCGTATTGGTTTTATCAGACTTACAATTTTCGCTTTCCTTAATTTGTTAAAATATTTTCAAAGTAAGGATAAAACATGTAAGGGCTATTTTTTGGGGGATTAGAGGAGCGACAAAACATTTTTTTTAAAGGGGCAGGATCTCAATTTTGTCAGTAACGTTGCTTATTTTGTCATCTACGAGCTTTAAACTACACATGATGAAAGGAAGGTCTTTAAATGGCAAATCATGGGGTACATGTATTGTAACAAATATTGATAATCTCGTTAAATGGCGTGACCTTTCCCTTTAATCCGCTTATCCACATAGACATTCTCCAAACTGATCTTCATACCTTTCCTTAAAGAATTAGTTGAGAGAATTTGATAAAAGATCAAAGCATAATTTCTTATTGGTGATCAATAATTACTTCTTTTATTAAACCATTTTATCTTAAAAATGTAATGAGGTTGCTATCGAGGAAAGAATTTTTGTCGGTAACAGTAGGGAGGGATGGAATTAACTTTTTTTGTGGTGGAATCTCATTAATTTGCGGTGGAATAGATTATTGCCAATGAAGTCTTGGCCTTTTGTCTTTATCTCATGAATAAAATGCGCAGGAAGCTCATTAAGATAAGGTTGTGTGCTATTTTAAGTTGGTTTATGTTTTCTAGTTACTTTAGGGGTCGATAAATGTCTTCGTTTTCGATTGGTTGATTAGAAAATGAGAAGCGTTCTCATTGGTTAACCCTCGGACATCGAAGCACATTCATACCCCCACCGTGGTACGAGGGGGGCAGGTGGATGGAACCCCGGCCCCGGAGTTTTTGACATGTTGCAGTATTTCCAAAAACAATTTTACCTTTAGTGGAAGGCCTTTGATCTTTTTAACAAGATGAGGTATATTTTATGGGTTTTGGCGCCGCTGGAGGCCTATGACGTCACCAACAATGGTCGCCATCTTGGCCACCATATTGGATTTTACCAAGAATTAGAAATCAGGTTAAAAACAGGAGAAATGGTAATTTTCTGGGCTTTACAGGAAAAATAACACATAAATAAGCACTTTGCATAATTTTAGCCATAAGATTTACTTTCATTGTTGAAACAATTTGGAAAAACATGTATTTTTACTCAAAAAAATGGCTTGACCACCTGCTACTTATGACGCCATGTCTCGTAACAATAGCAACTGACCATCACTGAACTTGTCTCAAAATGTGTGCGAGGGATGAACGGACAGCTACTGAAAACGTCAGGTGCTGATGTTTTATCCTCTAGGAAAAAACTCAGAAAAATCTTACGGAATGCCCCCCCCCCCCCCCCCCCCCCTTC